GCAAAAATCCCACAGAACGTTCCAGCTTGAAAGCCAAAGTTTTGTTTTAACTTAACCTGCAACCCAGAACATCACAAACCTCCAAATATTGTGATGCTTTAGCTGTAACACAGTAAGACAGACAGAATTTCAAGCCTGCCTCTGTATTTGTCCTTCTGCACGTAAGCTGAGATACATACGTGATTCTGTTCACCAGTACAGACAATTTTAGCATCACTAGCACTTTCTTCCATTTGTTGCATTTTCCCTCCCCCTATCATTAGTGTACTTACCTGGTATCTTTGTTCAATCTTAGTGCATAATTCAAAAGCCATACCAGAACAATTTCCTGATGTTATAAATAATTTTACATGGGAAGAAAAAGAACGCTCCCAAACTAGCTTCATTCATCATACGTCTGTCTCCTGCTATCCCAGCCTGTCTATTCACCCAAAATAACTGATGAACAGAGGTGTGTTCAGAAAACTCAGTATTTCGTTTACAAATTTAAAAGATGTGAATTATTGGCAAGTATCTTTCACATTAATGTATGAGGAAGACACAAAAAGGTAGATCAGGCTGCCACAGGAAAACATAAAAATGAAGATCTCTCTTTCATTTCTCTTTTTTTTTTTTAAAGAAATCTTAGTTCTCAAACCACAATGAGCAAAAGAAGGAAATAAATTTGTTCATTCTTTGGGGAACACTGCATCAAATCAACATTTTCACTTGCAAGTAACTTAAGTTTCAAATGCTATAAAAAGCCTTAAAGTTTCTTGGAGAACTTTCACAGAGCTCCCATTTGTCAAAACTACTGATTTCACACAAAATAAAAAAGCACAGGATGTGGGAAACACAAATATAAGCGTGTCTAGAGACGCTTCAGAAGACAACAAAATTACAGCAACATGTTCGTGGAAAAAAATAAAACTACTTATGCAGTTATGCATTTGAAAATAAACAAGAGCATAAGATTTTCCATTTGTTTTTCAAATAATCTTATCACCCTCAAGAAAATGAGAGAAATCACCAAATACTAAAAAACAAACTATATGTTTCTGTAAAGCACCAGAGTAGCCATAAAACAGACTTTAAGAGCACAGAGAACAGTGGGGCTGCCTGCCTTTTTCACTCTATGGTGGATTTCAAATACTGGACCAGATGCACAAAGCATGATCTCTGACGAATGTGAGATGTGATAGAATAGTGCCAGCCCCACAGAAAATAGACGTTTTAAAAAAAGATAGATTGGGTAAGCAACATTCGTAATAACTTAATACTAGTAAGATCTGAAATAATCCTAGACTGGTACATCAACCCAGGGCTTGAACAATGCTACCACATGATTAAATTAAAATTCTGTTATTAACTAGAAGCTTATTGTTAAAATAACATACAAAGTTAGGCATTTTTCTATTAATTTACAAGGTTTCTTAAAAGGCTAATTTCATACTTCACCTGACGTTTAAGTGGTTGCTAACACACTGTTACGGGACAGCTCCTACTTATACAAGCAAAAATATAATGAATATTACTTAAACTAGCAGTAACATTTCCCCTCCTGCTGACACCAAAAAAAAAAATCTAACCGTGTTACTTTCTCAGATCACTCCAAAGCTGAAACTGTTTCAGAGAGCTGAGAGCAGTTTTTGATAAAGCATATGAGCCTCAGAAGTACATCAGAAATTATTTTGCTTACAGTGGTTTGAGAGCAGAAAATCAGAGAAAAAACATGAAATATGGAGTACAGAGTCTACATACATATCAACTGTTACAATGTTAGTGTGTTTTTGTCTTTGCAATTCAGTCCAATTCCAGTTTAAGTAGGAAATAATCAAACAACCCAATAACAAAAACATAAAATGAAAAACTTAACATTCAGCAGTTATAGAAATTCAGACAGATTAAGATTGGGACAATGTATCAACTAGAAATACATCATTGAGTATCAGTTAAACTGAAAAAAAAATCTCTCTAAAAATAGAGTCAGGACTCATGCTGGTGAAGTTCCATTACTATTCTGTTTGTACACATTAATTTTGCTGTTAGTCCTTCTAAACATCATTCTATTGGATTTTTAGTTTTCTTGACTAATAGAGGTTAGACATGCATCTTAAATCTATTTTTCTCTTTTATATCTACAGGCTTTCTACAAGAAAAGGCAAGATGTTTCAAGGAAACATTCAGTTCATATTAATTCTGTAAAACGGATTATCAATGTACACGAAACCTTGCTCAAGTGAAGGCACAACATCTTGCAAAAATTTAATTTTAAATCATGAAGTGTACAAACAGAAGTGTAAATACCTGCTATGGTACATCTACACTTTTTGATAGAGTTTTATTATTATAAACACATTTAGTAAGTTATTCCAATTAAACCCATCTCTATAAATGTGTACAGTACAAACTGAATTTCACTGTATACAAAAATGTTCACAATGGACCTTTTAAATCCTTCTAAACTAGATGTGTAACACTTTAAAAAAATGCCAGTACAGTATCACAGTTACTACTATAGGTACACAAAAAGAAGTATAGGTGCCATAAGAAGTATAAGGTTGCAGGCACAGAGGCAAGTTCAAGTTATTTGGCAAACCACAGTAATACGGGGAGTAGCTCTTTTCAGCACTGCTGATATTTATTAAATGGCTGAGACTGTTAAATCCATTCATGAATATTAATCAATGTAAAGAACAAAACAAAAAAAATGTATGGCAACATACAGCTTAGTGAAAATGAAACATACAAACCAGGAGATAATCTTTTATATATGTGTGTATAGATAGATAGATAGATAGATAGATAAAAAACCAAAACTACAATAAAGGTCTTCTTTGTTAAGACAGTAACAAGACAAAATGCTTACAATTTAACTTTAAAAAAATACCAAATGCTTTCATTTACATGCAGAATAAATTTGCCCTTTAAATCAAGTACTTAGGACCTATTTTTTTTCTTTGTACAAAAGAATCTTACCTATGCAACTCCTCTGAAAGAGAAGCCTCAGCACACAACAAAGCTGAAGGAAGTTGCATATATAAATTCCAACTGAACTGAGACCGAAACCACAGTCTCATTTTAAAATTGTGCTTCAGAAATTATAAAATGCAACTTAATGCTATTTGATATGTTTCCTTGGGGTGACAGGGTAGGGATTTCTGTACTTGGTATCTACATATACAACTCTAAATACACAAAAATTACAGCTAGATTAATAAAGTATGCCAAGGGTAAAAAAAAATATCTTGAATTCCAGGTTATTAACAATTTTTATTATGACTTGCTCATTTCCACCAGAAGGAACACACTCTGGAAATGCATCCATCACTCAGCTCAATGGTTACCTCCTATTCATAACAACTATTTGCAAATACCACAAATACTCATTTATCATAAAAGGTAAAAATCCAGTTCAGCAGAAGAAACTACATTTACTTTTGTTAAATGTGCATTTTTATGTTCTGCTATTTTACAATTAAGAACCAGTTGTCATTTTTATGCAGTTGTAGAAATATTTCTACCAATCCATTTTTAATGGCAAAAAGGGGCTTTAACAGACAAATAGGTACTGCAAACTTTATTTCAGCTGCCACATTTCACCTTCCTGTTTAACCCTTTGATTTCCCTTCTCTAGGTCTGCTTTGTGAGTCTCTGTTAGTACAGGAACCCAAGACAACATTCCCCTTAATACTCAATAGACTACAGCATTTAATATCAGAATTTTTTCTCTCCCGAAGAAGTCACTGACACAAAAGCCTGCCTGAAAAAGTGATATTTAACTAATACAAAATTATATTTTCACTTAGAAGTGTACTACATTTTCTATGATTTCCAAAAGGTTTCTATTAAACTTTTGTAAATGAAGTTCCATGAATAAAAATGACATGCAAATCTGGAAACTAAATCTGAGGATAAATGTAAGAAATGGAAGTTGGGCAGACAGATAAGTCTGCAAGCTTCAATTTTATTGTAGATGTAGTGGGAAATTCTTCTAAAAAGGAAAAAGACTACTGCAGAGAAACTAACGGGTAGTGTTTTTCCCAACTGCCAAACAGATGTAATCATGGGTAGCTTCATTGATTTAATGTGATGAACATTTCTATGTATTTTAAAGCTCTCAGCAGTACACTGAAAAAAAGTATTATTTAGCATGCTGCTCTGTAGCTATCTAGACATTTGATACAGGCAAGACTGCAGATATACAAAATTAAAGAACACATTAGTTTGTGAACAACCAGGAAAGAAACATTTCTCGTGACATACATCTGCTTACTAGTCTTCAAAAAATTACTTTACTATCGGGGGGGGCAATGAAAAATCAGAGTGGCGGGGAATAACTGATCATAAATCCTATTGAAATTAGTGCCTGAATTTAGCTGGAAGGTAGAAAATACTGACAGGTCACATTTCTTGAAGTAAAAACCAGAGCCTGGCTATATTACCTGAATTGGAGTAAAAGTCACTGGAAAAACAACAAACAAAAAACCAAACCACCACCATACTTGTGCAAGGACAGCAATTGTATGTACACGTGTTCCCTAAATTGAAATAATCCACACATTACATATGAAGGGCTTAGTGCTGCAGTACTTCAGAAGTAGATTTTAAAATACAAAATTAGTAGTTTAGAATACAAATAAGAAATATAACCATAAATTTAATATAATCTTCTCAGATTAAAAAGAGAGCAGACTTCTCAGTCTGGCTTACTGCTCTTCTAAGAACTGGTTTAATTACGTTTCATAAAAGCTGCAAACATGAATAGCACCTAAAAATAAAAAGGCAGCATGCAAACTGCAGAAGATAATCACACAAACAGTCCCTCCCTCCCAAGATCAGTTACCTGTCATTACTCATCTATGTTCATGTCAGATGCTGCAACAAGAAAGTGACTCATTACATACTGCAGGACCACTTAAATGCAGATATTGGAGGTGCAAATAATCCCAAACCTAGGGTAGTTACTTTTAGTAAGTCAGTAACAGTAAAGTTCAAGAACACAAAACAAATGCTCACCTTTAACGATGACGATATTCTCTCTCCCTGTCTCGCTCTCTGTCACGATCTCTGTCACGATCACGATGCCTCTCTCTCTCACGGCTTCTTTCCCGGTAATAGTCATCGTGACGATCTCTACTACGGGACTTGTGGCGTCTACTTTTTTCTCGTGACCTACTGTGGTCCCTCTCTCTGGATCGCTCACGTCTTCTAAAAGAAATTACTTCATCAAATTTTTCTTCAAAACACAAGTCATCCGCGTGCCAATTTTGTATTCTCTTTACGAGCATGAATTTCAGGAAAGAAGGATAAGAATCTGCCCACTGTGATGCAGCTACGTTTTTGTACACAACATGAAAGATAGCTGGTATAAAAGGTGGTGGCTAAGAACTCAGTTACAGTAGAAAGTGGATGCACCTTACTATATCTATCAAGGAAAAGTCAGAAAGCACATACATGGCTGAAATCAGCTGGGGGAATGCACCATACCTCAAACAATCACTACAACCTGGCTGCTAACCTGTGTACAGAAGGTATGTGCCAAAACCAGCTGTCCTTGTGTTTAATATTCAAGACCAGTTACATTACTGCTACAGTATCCAAATGAACTCCAGACTCAACATTTGTCCTAACACTGAGAGGTGCATGATTTAAGCTTTGAAAGAAATACCAAATCTCTTTGTACTAGGTGCAAAAGTCCATGAATTTCAAATCCACCTACTCTCGATTTTCAGATTGTAGACAAAGTACAACAGGCAAACCCATTCTGACCAATTTTTTCCTCCCAACTCAGTATTTCTACTGTAACAAGTGTGGAGAAAATGACTTTTAATGAAAATTGGCATTAAATATCCTCAATCTTGACTTCCAGAAGCAAATTCTAGTAAAAAGGATGCACTGGCATTTTTTAATTGATAAAGGATAATTCTATTTTGAATTACATTACAAGAGTACCATGTGGAAAAGGATACTAAATAAAACTTAGAGTTAAACTTTAGCTGGTTAGATCAATTTTGCAAAGAGGGTTAATTAAAAGGCAGCTAAGTTTGGGAAATCCCTATTTGGTTCTTTCACACATTTCTTGTGCAACTCCGGAAATTACTAAGCTTCTTAAGTAACTTAAGTTTCTTCTCTATGAACGAGTCCTGCACTACAGCTTTCCTTTTATAAGTAAGGGCAGATGGAAGAGGAAAGTTTTACCTGGATCCAGAACCATAAGACTTGGACTCAATCCCATGAAGGCAGTCCTGAAGAGAGCTAATAAGTACTTTACAGCGATCATCCGCAGATACTTTGGACTGTTTAATTAAGGAAATTGCTGTTACCAAGGTCTCTATAGCACTTCCATAGTCCCCTGAAAATGATATAACATCATAATCAGAAAATTATGCAATTTAAACCAAAAAATATCTGTAATAGTATTACCATTTTGAGGATCTTCTCTTCAACAGCCATCCAGATAATTTACTGTAGAACAGAATACTAAAATACTGTCCAGATCAGTACTCAGAAGGCATCCTCAAAAACTAATTGAAACACAGTACAAATCAGTCGTAGATTGTACCTAAATTCAGCCTCTTGTTAGGAAAATGGGGCTTCAGGGCTGCAAGATTCCTAATAGAAAAACTATGAAGTCTTTTCAGTTGGGTAGAATAGCAAACACATTAACTGAGTTTTACTAACCAGCACTGGCATCTGATACAGCTCTCGAAATGGCACTGCTTGAGATCGCCCTATTTCTATTCATGATCTCTTCAAATTCTGCTTCACTTAGAGGTGTCCTTGCAGCATCCATTTCTCTGAAAGCAATAAAACTAGTATTTAAAGGGTTAAGAAAAACTTCAGATATCATTGCAGTTTTAACAATCTGAGTTTGCAACTTTAAGCAAAGTGACAAACAGAAAAGAAAGCGGGATCTGGGTTTGGTCTTGGTTTTTGTTAAAGACCATGTTACAGTATAAAATCCTGAAAGCTAAAAAAAAAATAAATTTTAAAAAATGTAAAAACAATTAAGACATTGCTATATAAATACTTATTCTTCTTCATCTCATCGATTTTGAAAATTCATCAGCACTTAATGTTGTGCTTTACAAATATTTTTAATTTTCATAAAATGCTTGAAGGTATGTAAGCAGATATTATCCCAACTGAATGGATGTGGAAATACATGTACATAGGCAATGCGACTGAGCAAAATTAGAGATCATTTTTATAACAGTACTGGAATTAGAACTATATGATCCTGTTTCCCAGATCTTAACTAAGACCAGAATGTTGTGACTTTTGAAAAGCAAATATAGCCTATGATCTTTAAAACACTCAATTTTCTGAATGATACTTCAACATTCTATAGCTAATTTTGGGGTTTTTTTTATTTCTGGTCAAGTTCAAGGTGCTCCAATTCGATCTCCAAATCGGTCACAGTAAGAAGGAAGCAATAAAGCAGAAACTTTGTACTCATTACACTTTTTAACTTTAATTATTAGCTACCTATATAGGGTTTCCAAAGTAACTGAAGTTAACCTATACAAAAGTTTTCCCAAAAGTTCTGCAGTGTCCTATTAACCAGTCTCTGTATCATATAGAAAATTTGGAGAAATGTGTTAGAGACAAATGTTGAGACTGTTAAACTGGCCCACTGCTTGATATTTCTAGAAGTGTTAGTTCTTCTGGTAGAAAGAAAATGCAGAATAATAAGCAATGCTATCCTCTTAATTGCAAGAAGTGGAACAAGATCCTATAGCCAGTTTAGCATAAGAGGAAATGTCTAAAAATTCATACCTCCCTGAGTTTTGAGTATTATTTTTCGTGTGCCTCCCATAGAATGGAATATGTAATTTTTCTCTTATGGACATGTTATTTCCAGTGAAACGCCTATGATATATAATTAATGACAATTTAAATAGTTATGGATCATAGTTTTAACATTATTAATGAAAATACTGGACAGCAAGTTATACTGTCCTACTCCCACTCCTTCCCTCCCCAGACATTCTATAAACTGCAGACAACCTCGATTTTGTCCATCAAAAAACAACCAGCACCTTATTTTTTTCATTATATTTCAGGCAATTAAGCCAAATGCTTGAATTTCTATAGTTTCTGTATGAACACAGCATGTACAGATGCGTGGGGTTTTCTAAACTTTGTAATAAGAGAAGAATCAAAGTAAAGTGTCTTTGCAGAAAACATTTTAAGCAAAAGAAATGTCTCTTATGCTAGCAGTAAAATCACAACTGAAAAGTCCAAAAGTAACTATGTAAAAAGTGTCTTTCTTACAATTTATCCCAACATTTTCTGTGACAAATACAAACATGGTGAAAATCAAGAAACAGCAGCAAGACAGAGATGCTTGAAATCACAGATGGAAAAGATGTTTCAAACAAGATGTGAAAAACTTGACAAATCAAGTCAGAGAAACTCAAAAACCCTGTCCCAGATAGGATTAACCCCAGGAAAAGCCACTGCTACAAACACAGCAAGATTGCACCAAATTAACAGAGGCATCTTGACAGGAAAGGGAGAGAAAAAGTCTTGCATTAAAATCGCGCCTGGCTTTTGAGACAAAGACTAACTTTGAATTGAATCCTGAAGAAAAAAGGGACAAGCAGAGCTGCTGAAAGATGAAAATGATATGAGCTTGGTATGGCACTGTACTCAACATATGCACATATTCAAAAAGGAGAACCCCAGAGCATTCTAAAAAGACAGCTTGCAAAGCACAATGATAAAGGTACAAAAGTCAGAATTTCAAGACAGAAGCACAACCAGAAGCTGCTGCATAAGAAGTGATATATAACTTTACATGAAGAATACATGGAATGATGACACTACCGAATACAAACAGTGAAGACAAACAGCTCGAAGCTGAAAAGGGAAAGTGAGATTACTGGCGTTGCATTTCAGGATTTCCTTACTGCTACAAACAGGTTTCTCAGCGATACTTCACTGAGAAGTGAAAAGGGGCAAATCAGAAGACTGTTGGGATCCCTTCCAGCCTTATTTTTCATTATTTCTAACATTTGCATTAAAAGGGGAAAATCAGATGCTTCCTGCAAGAGGAGTAAAATCTGCTACCAAGCACATTACATCAAAAGCACTCACCTTCCAGGTGGCCCATAGTCACCTCTGTCATATGGTGGAGGTCGGCCATATGGATCTGTTGGAGGTGGGCCACGACTGTCTGAAGTAGGTATGCCACTATTGGCAGGTGGGGGAAAGAAAGCTGGATTCACATGTGGTGCAGGTGGTGGAGCACCAGGAGGTGGGCCAGGGAGATGTGGAGGAGGAGCAAGAGTCAGGGGTGGCCCAAGAGGGCCAGGTGGACGAGGGGGAAATGGACCTGGAGGTGGAGGTGGACCCTGCTGAGGTGGTGGTGGACCTGGTGGTGGCCCGTAGCCTGGAACTGGTGGTGGAGGGCCTGGAGGAAGTGGCCCAAGTGGAGGCTGACCAAAAGGCTGTCCTGGAAACAGAACTGGTGGTGGTGGACGGTCACCACGATTAGGAGGTCCAGCTAATGGAGGTGGGAGGACCTGACCAGGAGGTGGAGGGCCTGGTGGGCCTGGTGGACCAGGAGGACCTAATGGTGGACGTGGGGGAGTTTGTCCAGCTACAATTAAAAAAAAATAAAAAAAAATAAGAAGAGTTAATAAATATAAAATACAAAAGACTCAGCAAAATAATTAAAAATCTTGCCATTTTTAAAAACAACATCAAAAACCCAAAAACAACCCTCACTGAAAAATGTGCAACTTACATAGGACATGCATGGTCCCACTTTGGGTCCAGTAGCTTAGAAAATTTTTAACAGTTGCTTGATTATCAATATCTAAAGAAAACAACATTAACTTGAAAACTGACAACTCGTCCCCACAATCACTTCATCACTTGCTGTTGTTACCAAAACCCCCAAAATTTACAGAAACTAGAAAACATTGTATCCTACTTACACCTGCAGCTAGTCTTTCATATGGGGCATAAGACATATATTAAAAATATGGGAAAAGCTATATTGGAGAAGGTAAGGCAAATGCAGTATCCAAACCTACTTTCAGGTCATTAGTGTTTTTTCAACTTGACTATGTCCCTTTGACTGTTAGCAGACAATCTACTACTGAATGACAATTTATTAAAAATACTTCTGCTAAAATAAGAACTTTACTTCAATGCAAGCATGATTGTTTAACAGACTTCTCCTATGTCAGATACCTAACTAAACATGAACACCTCCTCTTCAAATTTGTGGTATTCTATGTGCCAAGTAATTGCCCTATCAGTGGGCAAGAATCAGAACTGAACTCCTGATGATGTGCAAACTAGTTACTTTACACTCTGCAACACAAGCAGCAAATCAGAAAGTCTGAACTCAACCGCACTAAGGACAAGACTACTTGTTAACATGATCCATCTTAATTTTTTTCATACTTTATAATATGTCAATGTACATATTTTTAAACAATGTCTCTAAAAATGTTATTATATTGCTATCAAATTTAGGAAGTACAACGCCCTAATTGAATATTAACAAAGAAATATTGTTGAATTCTACAATCCAGCTGTGAACACTGACTACAGCACATTACTGAATTGCCTTCATCTTTGTAATTTCCCAAAGAAGCATGCTGTGTTAATACAAGAAAACACAAATGTGACTGAAACGCCACATATTAATTATTTTACCTGGGAAAGGTGGTGGTGGCCCTCCAGGGCCTGCCGGTCCAGGGAATCTGTCTCCCCCTGGAATGGCACCTGGAAAACGGCCTCGCCCTCTATTACTCGGTGGAAATGCTGCTCGTGAGCTTCCTCCTGGGGGACCAGCTTTACCTTCCCCAGACATCTGTCCAGACTGCGTAGCTGCAATGGAAAAGCAAAAGTGTAATTACAGACTTTCAATATTTGATGTAAAATTTTATGCAGCACTAAAGCATGACCTTATGAACAACCAACTTGTTCCTCAGTACCCAAATCCAAAGCATTTGGGGAGGAAAAAGTGCTTTGCTAAAATATGGCAGTGTTTCAGTATGCCCCACATTAATGGAATAGCACCTAGGGAGACTGTCAGTCCTTCCTTTAATGCAGCCCAAGACCACAAACCATTAGGACTGGGAACCAAAAGATAAGGTGCTGGAGAAAAGCACAACACAGAATCTCTCTTCTCCATTCTGTCGTAACTGTAGCCTACCTAGACATCAGAATTCAGTCCAGTTTGTCTAAAAATGTTAAATTTCCAGATGCTCTTGTACTTTTAAAAAAAATTATATCCACAAGAAATCAAGAAAGCGTCTCCAACTGTAAGACAGGAGTTTCACAGAACCGCAACCTTCTTTCAGTGAGCGCTCTCTCTTGCCAAAACAGCAGCTCTTCAGTGTATTAAGTGATTTTTAATTCTTTTATTTAATATGATCATCCTTAAACAAAGGTGCAACTTCAATCACCTGGACTAAGTATTTTATAGCTATTTTAAACTCTGTAGAAATTATCAGATGTTGAGAGAAAAACTGCCGTACTACTTTTGGAATAAACTCCTGTTTTTTCAAGACAGTACATAAGAAAGGCTTACTTTTCCTTGACTGCATTTCAAACTGACTCAGAAATTGTTTATTACATGGAGTTACAACAGGATTCTGCCCATGCAATTCTCTTTTAGGCAACAAATCCATCAGCTTTTTGGAGGATGCTTCCGATCCCACACCCACAAGGGCAAACCTGAAAGGAAGAAGAAGAAAAGTTATACCACAGTTTTTCCTTTTCACAGAATCACAGAACGTTAGGGATTGGAAGGGACCTCAAAAGATCATCTAGTCCAATCCCCCTGCCGGAGCAGGCATACCTAGATGAGGTTGCACAGGAAGGCGTCCAGGCGGGTTTTGAATGTCTCCAGAGAAGGAGACTCCACAACCTCTCTGGGCAGCCTGGTCCAGTGCTCTGTAACCCTCACTGAGAAGTTTCTTCTCAAATTTCAGTGGAACCTCCTGTGTTCCAGCTTGTGTCCGTTACCCCTTGTCCTATCATTGTTTGTCACCGAGAAGAGCCTGGCTCCATCCTCGTGACACTCACCCTTTCAATATTTATAAACATGAATGAGGTCTCCCCTCAGTCTCCTCTTCTGCAAACTAAAGAGACCCAGCTCCCTCAGCCGCTCCTCATAAGGGAGATGCTCCACTCCCTTAATCATCTTTGTAGCCCTACGCTGGACTCTCAGGATTTTCCTGAATATCCTGATGCCTCATGAAAAAGATTACACACAGTAAGCAAAAGAATACTTTAACACTACATACAGGAACTGTCTCAGAGGTCTTAGTCCAGTTTTCAGAACAGATGAAATAACAAGTAACTCATTCTAGGCCATACAAGATGACCCTGAAGTGCAAGCACAAGATGCGTATCAAAACATCACAACAAAGGCAACTTTTTGGTAGAGTTTCAATATGCTGTATTCTAATTCATATGACTAAGTTATTAAGCACTCACTGTGTTCTCATTACCACCAAAGGAGAGAAAAAAAGCACATTCATGCAAGGAAGATTAGGCTGGGAGCGAAAAATGGGCTCAAGTGCTAACTTTCAATAGTTAATGGAAATAAAGACTTAAAGAGAGATTTAATAATGGAAGTTAGGGGAATAGTATTTACACTGTGAGGAACAGCAAGTATCACCACCATGGTAACTGAAATCTAGAACAGTCTTAATGAAGATGTCTAACAAGATTTAACTCACAAAATAATGACACAACACCAACATAAAAATTCACAGCTGAAATTTAAGTCATTAGTATGAAGTGATACAACCAAACACTGCTGGATATCAATAAACAAAGATTATCAGCTCATGTACTGACAGTTAATAAAACTGAGAACTCCTTCCCCATTTCCACCCTCCCAAACTTCAGTCCATTTACAGAAAAAATAAAGATGACAAGTTCTTACCCTTTTGATTGGCCATTAGCACGATTTTCAAAAAATTTTATCTCCAAAATATCATTTACCCCCAGTGAATGAACTGCTTCAGTTAAATCTTCATCTGTTGTCCACTGAAAAATAGTTTTAATGTTCAACTATGAAAGCTTATCTAAAACACCAGGAAAAAGGCAACTAAGTTTTCCATTGATTTTAGTGTGTGTGTGAAATTGGTCAAGAGGAATACTTTATTAAGGCCGTCAATATTTTCTGACTTTTGCAGAGCAGTCATCTACATTTTACAATTATCAGAAAATTATTTTATAAAATCTACACACTCCCCATATGCTACATTGCATCAACCCCTCCACACAGTATACCAGCTACAGTACGCCAAAAAAACAAAAATGGTATTTGAGTAACGAGTCTTCTGAGAGCACAAGGCTTAAACTGGACTATTTCAATAACTCTTACTTCTTCCACAGCCAAACCATTTTTGTCTCCCACTGATTCTATTATTTCCACACACAAGTCAATTTTATACACCATATGAACCAGGTGCTCTTTATGAGAACTTTGACTAGTTAGAGTTTAGTGAACTACTTACTATTTGCACAAAAATAGCAGGATTTCCAGACAAAAGAAACTAGTACAGAAACTATGGTCAGAAACAACTGCTTCCACCTAACCACACCTACATGCTGTAACCTCCTATTAATTTCTATGCAACGTTTAACAATTTAACTTGTATCCAAAGATACAAAAATACACTAATACTTATGGACCTCTTTCTACTTCTGTAACTCCACCACTTTAATGCAGGAAGTGCAAAGCAGGCTTTCAAGACTCTGAACTACTTATCTATTTTCCTCAAATCAATGCTTCTTTTAAAAAAAATAAGAATCAACAAATTATTTTGCTGAGAGTTCAATGCAAAGAAAATAAACTCAATAGAAACACTAAAGTAGATAACCACACTTTTTATAGATAACTTCATTTACGAAGCCAAATAGTAAGTAATAGGTATAGATTGCTGAACATTGGCCTACCTGTTTTACACACTGTGACATTTGACTTGGATGAGTTCAGCTGAATCACGTGCATTTAACTGATTCCATTCATATATTTTAGAATGATACAACTGTTAAGTCAACAGCTCCTTTACTTACCTATTAGCTCCTGAAACTAGGATACTGTAGTAATTAATAAAGAAAACACCTAATCACACAAAAAGCATTCTTTTTTCAAGTTTAGCACTAATAAGAAATCAATCAGAAGGGAAAAAAAAACCTTGAGTGAAAATTTTAAATGTGCAGACCTGGAAGACCTGGATTTCAGGGAAACTGATACAAACTCCAGTTAATTCAGCTGCTGACCAGCTGCAACTCATTTTAAAATGCTTTAATGCTAACAAAAGTTATTGTCTTAAGGGCAACTGCAGTTCAGCAAGTTATCCCAGACCTGTGACCACTAGGACTGCAGAAATAAGCCTCAAGGCAAATACCTGAAAACAGTTTTGTTTTAAGAGTCACTGCCTTGCAAAAAGGGAACTGGAAAAATGCCCTGGAACAATGTGAAAAGTAATTTCAAGAAGTCCCAGGGAACCTTCCAGCTCCTTTTTAAACTAAAAACTTCAGCAAGAGTTTACTAAAAAATAGGTTCATTCAGTAGCCTTAAAGTATCCACAGGCATAAAGTATTTCATAGTATAGCTTGCTCTCCTTATTCATTCAGTTCTCTGAAAAACCTTAAGAGGATAGTAGCACAAATACAACACTTAAAACATCACAGGAAACTTTAAAGTTTATATTTACTAAAGATATCCTTGACTTTTTAGACATCAAGACAGCACTAGACAGGCTCACTGAATTTCAGGTAAAAGAAAAAAATAAAACAAACAACAACCAAACACCTGCTTTTCTGTGCTCTTAGTATTTCATATAGAAGAATTTTAAAGCCAAAAATATTTAAAAATATTCACAATTTTAAAATTGCTAGGTGTACCTAAATAGTATTAAGATACTTGCCCAAGTAAGATTTCCAATGTACAAGGCAATTCTCTTTCCAGTATATGTATAGACAACGTTTGGTGCAGCTCCTTTACCCACATCATCCCCGACAGATGGTGGGAGAGAATCCATGTAATCACGGTCTTCTGGGGCATCTCCATTATTTGCAGATGGAGAAATTACATCATCATATAAATCAATCTGATCATGTCCACCATATTCAGCTTCCTAAAATACAAAAGACACTTCAATTATATTTAACATTAAACACTCTTAAAACTTACTTGAAACAAAATGCTGTGATAACTAACTACCATGTTCCACGGATGTGGTCTGATCCAACACCTACACAACAGTCCTGTTGAAAAGCTAAGCTTCAGTTTCATTCACATTAAAGTATATAAAATTTTTATGACTTCTATAATATTCTAAACTGACAGGATGTGTGGGGAAATCAGCAAAAATACTTCTGGCTACTGTTTTGAATTGCAATACTTTTGCCTTGTAATATAAACAGAAGTCCAAAAACCCACAAGCCCTACTCCCAGAATTATAGACATTAGCTAGCACAAGCAACATGCAAAATGCGAAGCTAACATCCACTGTCAAGCAAATCTTTTCCACCAAAACATTTGGTAGAGTGAGCAGACAGAGCTTCACGAGGAGCACTACAGACAAACACAGCATTCTGCCTTTCAGATTTCTACTGCATTCCTAACTTGATTTTTATCTCCTCATTCACAGAGAAGCCAGACAGGCAGGGACAGAATTCTATTTTGTTTCATTAAATTAAATAAACCCAAGGGTCCATGTTTATTAAACATTTATTTATTCATGGGCTACAGAGGGACTATTCTACAGCACCACAGCTGTCTCAAACATTTTGGTTCGGTAAAGCATCAAGGGGTTTTGGAGCCACCCCTCTCCCCTGGGTGGGTACAGGTTACAGCACAGTTCTGGCCAAGTGAACTTGACTCCTTTCAGAAGGAATGGAAATGAGAGTCTCTCTCCAGAAGCTCTGCTTCATGTGTTCAACAACTGCATCTTACCTGCTGCACAGGAACAGATGGGTCAAGATCAATCAGTGGTCTTTCAGACAGCTCTGACTCATAAGTGTGGTAGAAATATTTAGAAATATTTAGTCCAAAAGGCCAGACTAAATTTAGTCTCAAGTAGACTATGCAAACAGTGTGTTAGGTAGACAGAGGGGCCTAAGTACCAATTGCCTCAATCTGCCGATGTGCTACTTACCAAGCCTTATTACTTCTTATTGTAAAGACAGCTGTACTGTCATCACCAAATATGGAAAATTAAGAGAGGGGTAAAACATGTTGACTGTAAATGATAATAATCATCTTCACAAAAACATGCAAAACTTTTTTTTTTCAATACAGTGTAACCTTAATCAGTGGGATTGCTTCATTCCAAATATGCATGAAGCTGGATGTTTTCAACTATTTTTAAAACAAAGACTTCTTTTGATTCTTGCCATTTTTCATCTTATATACTGTCACTCATCAGACTCAACGGTGATCAATTCCACAATGAGACGCTGCTATCTTTTTTATAATAGTCTAGAAATCACTTATGATTGAACAGCCCAATCTGTGTGAGAGAGAGGCACCATCTAAATGTCTACTTACAGGAAGGCAGTAACTTGTCAGTGAACAACAGTGGTCTGACGAAGCTTAGGAATGCTTAGCGGCGTTTAATGTTAACTGTCAGCTTTTATAGTGACTTTCACAGGTTGCTTTGCCACATGCAGAAGTAGGACTTCAAAAGCCTGCAGAGGGTTTTTGGACTCCTCCACCCTGATCCAGAACAGAAACTGCCTCACCACATTTTTGGTATCTGCTATCTTGTGAATTTGTATCTAGAAACCCAGATGAGCACCCTAGATAGAACAGTTCAAGGTACCAGGTATGGCAAATCAAGTTGGATTTCACAGAAAAGAGGCTGCAAAGCTAGCAGTCTTGGTTGAAAACCAAATATAACCACAATCATCACCAGATGATCAGCAGTCTTGAAAATATTATCAACTGCTACTCATACAGAGAATCACTAAATTAAAAAAAAGACAAACCCAATAGCCAGACAAAAAAAGCTAATTTTTGGCACTGTCAATCAAGTAGATTTGATCCCCAGCACCGTCCCAATACACTCAAAACTTCAACAGAAAGTGTATATATTTTAAGATAAGTTTATAATCATTAAATTAAGTAAGGGTTTCATATTTTCACCTAATTTGTTCAGTCTCCTGCCTCAGTTTGATTCCTTCTATAATCATAGCTAATTAAAGTAGGTTCAAAGAACTGCCTGGGACAGGCCTAAACATGACATCTTACAGCAAGATAAGGGATGGTGTCACAAGGCAATTAAGGAAATCATCTGCTAAACATGCAGTAATTCTGCAGTCATATGTGTGTATGGATGATGACTTCAGGGAAGCAGAATTTAGTCTTGGTAGACAGATCCCAACAGGCAGCCACCAGTTTCACTAGCCTACCCCTCTGAGCAGACTGAGGTCAGCATTGCCAAAATGCCAGAGTAGGCAGCAGCTCAAAGCTCTGCTGTACTTTCCTAGTGGCAAGAAACTCCTCTGAAACAGATCAAGTTTCTATCACACAGGCTTTCAGGCCAGCATTAAAGGAGGGAGTGAATTATCATGGTAGCATAGTCTGCATGTAATTTTGGGGGGGGCCTTAAGTGTCCAATAGCATTGGTGCCTTAATTTAAGTCAATAGACACAACAGCAAACCCAATCTCTTATTCTGTTGTGCTGGTTTTGCAGCCAGCATGGCATTCACTCAGTTACCAGTCTGTCAACAAGGTGCGTGGTTAGATGACTAAGAACGATCCGAGTCAGCAACTGCAAGTGTAGATGGGAGAGAGGTGTGTAGATGGGAGAGAGGTGTCTCGATGGCTGTTGCGCAAGATCCAGCAACCCTTTCTCCTTCATACACGTACCATGGAAACTTACCTAAACACATCCTTCTTTCCTAGATGCAGAAGAGTAAGAAAAAGAATGCAGGATGTCTTACTTCTCTAGTATTAGCTAATTCAACAAATGCCCTGCCCATACCAGGAATTGGTTTTGACCTCTTCTGACTTCCTTAGTTAGGAGAAAACCATCAAGCACAAATAGAAACTATTTCTGCTCAGTTATAGTAACCCACAATCTTACAGAAAAACATGCTAAGAAACAAAGTCAGCATCCTAATGCTGGCCCCCTCTGCGAAAGACTCAAGAGCAGCAATACATTTCCAAAGCCCGTGTTTTAAATAGACCACAGTCTGAAATACTGCATCATTTGCTCTGGAAAATCAGGACTGAAACTCCACATTCTGTGCTATTAAGTGGGACTAGGTGAATAAATAGTACTGAAAATATATCCACTCAAAGATTCATGCCAGATTAGCTGTTACACTTCCAGTTACTCAGCCCTCCCTCAATATTTTGTATTTTAATTACTGTTTGCAGTGTTTTGCAACATTCAAACACTAAAGCCACAAACACATGCAACATCAAGGTCATGTCCAGAAGGGACAAATAAAGTGTGTTTTTTCTTTGTGGAACTTAGCAGCCATACTCTTCTGAATTGAGAGGAGCTGGTTACTCCCTATACAAATGCTGTTTTGGAAACATTTTGTTGGTGTTTTTTAAATAAAATGTCTTTAAACTGTACATACATCTCTGATACTTGCGTTTTCCCATTCAACTCTGTTCAATTTAATAGCTAAACACTACATTATAGCTCCAGGAAGACATTAAAAAAAAGTCAGTGATGTTTATAAAATTTCATTTTAAAAAAACTGCTATTGTTTCTGAAAAAAACATACATTTAAGAAGAAGCACGTTATCCACCTTCTCTCTGATCACTTTTTCATTCAATTTACAGTATGTGTGGTCAAAATCTCTAAATACAGGTTAGCATCATCACTTTACAAAAAGGTTGTAGGCCCTGAAGAACAAGCTAAAGAGGTAAGCAAAAATCTTTCTGGTCTCCGTTAGCCACCTGAACACACAAACTGGAACCTTAACAAAGTATCTTTGACGTTTCTAAAATAGCACTGCCTGTAGGAAAAACATCCACCATGGCTGGACAAGTTTGTTAACCTACAAGACTCACATTTACTCTACAGGCCCAAACGCTCTTGCCTCTTGAACTGGCACATCACTAAAATTTAAGCAATCTGATCCCTTGTCAAACAGAGCAACTAAAAATTCACAAGTAGTCAAAAGTATAAATTAAACATAGGTAACATTGCTGTTTGCATTAGAACAAACCTAAGAGGGGCCAGATGAGATGGTCTCAATTTTCTTTGTAGTTTGATATCTGCAAATACACAAAGGTTATCTCTTTCCCAGGCCCCTTTCAGCAGAACAGAACTGACAGAATAAATATGCAATAAGGTACTGCACATGCGTTTCATAATAAATGCAGGTCAGCTTATGCTTTTTTATGACCAGGACACCTCTGCCCTTCTGAGTAGAAATTTATTATACCACAATGTGTCCATCCTCCCCTATAATGAGACAACTGTCTTCCTGATATAAAGGCTGCTTTTAATAACCTGCTTTATGCTAGCTTTTATTATTCATTACACAAAAAGTATTTTCCTCTCTGTTACAGAGAAGGAGTCAAGAGAGTAACTAACACAATCCTAAGAATCTGTAGTCAGAGGTTTCCAGATAATTAGCCTCTTAGCTGCTTACTCCATCTAAATCACTTTTATTATCCAGTTACAAAATACTAAGTCAAAACGCTTTCATTTCTAATTTGTTAGCATTTAAATATCAAACTACAACACTACAGGCACGTTTAGACTTACCAACAACGCAACTATGTAAGTGTACCCATTAGAATATAAACAAAGCAAGCGGTTTTTTCCACAGCATTAAAATAAGAGATCTTTCTGACCAAGCAGAGGATGCAAAACAACTTTAAAACCTGCACATGCATACATATAAAAATTTAGTTTACTGCATAAGATTACAGTAAATAAAATATAATAAACCAAGTTTTTTACTGTTTAATTATGTGTATGTAAAAAATAAAACCAAAACAAACCAAAACAAAAAACCTGAACAGCCAAAATGACTTGGGAAATGCAAAGCTAATCAGAGCATTGGTGAATTTGACATAGCATGGTCATATCTTCATGACTGCAGGAAAGTAACCCAGTTTGCTGGCCAAAGTTGCAGACAACCTTGAGTCAGACCCAAGC